TGTGTGTGTGTGGATGTGTGTCTGCACGAGCACGCGCGTGTGTGTGTATGTGTGTAGGTCAAACTAAAAAGTATACAATGGACAATGACAAAAGGCTCTAAAGAGTGTGTGATGGGATGGGTCCAACGAACAACCGTCACGCAGGTCTGGAAATTTTATGAGGCGGTTTAGTGTTATTATAAACCCCACTTTATTGAGGTTTTTATTGAGAATTTAGAGCTGTTCAAGTGCTTTTTCAGTGCGTCCTTCGGCATTCTCTCGCGTGGGCTCGGCATTATTTTGCTCAATGAAGATCGTTGAGTGCCCACCCCGAAATAGTAAAACGTGTGTCCCTGAAAGGTAGACTATATAGCCTCATTAAAAGAAAGATATTATGCTTTTGTCATATTTAATATGTTGCAGGTGACTAAACCAACGTATTTTGATATCCTGGCCTGAATCTTTGCCTGTCAAGAAAAAGTTGCAATTTCAACCCCTCGTTCAGGAAAATACCTTATGGAGGGCTTTTATTTTTTTTTTCTTTCGAAGTTGTAATCCGCAAGTAAGAGAGAGAGAGAGAGAGAGAGAGAGAGAGAGAGAGAGAGAGTTCTTTTGACAATTGTGCTTACATCAAACATTTTTGCTTGCATTTTTTTACTTTCAAAATTTGAATTTCGACAAAATATTTTTCTCAGATTAAAAAAAAAGTTGGGCCTAGGACTACGTCCGAACATCTGGCCGACATGTGGTTTTCGATCAGCAGACCTGCTGTTTGATAAACTGGCTCTCGGCTCTCAAGCTATCGAAAACCTGCCCTGAGCACTGAGTAGCCTACTGGGTGTCCTCTAGTACATGTACTACTAGTACACAAGCCACCGGTTGTAAGCATTATGACAAGTCACGGCGGTAGCAGGAACGGAACCAATCAAGTCTTCCTCTAAGTCACAAAGTGGACAGCAGTTCATGCTCTAAGGCGCATGTGGCAAACGCTAGGTCCGTGAGCCACATCCTGCCTGGCGAATAATTATGTTCGGCTCCCGAGAGAATTCTGAGAAGTCCATCCTCAGAATCTCCATAACACAGAACCTTACTCCAAACATAAACGAACTTGTTAAGAAAAGGTGCCAAACATCCAGCTCTCACTAACTGGAACAAGAGAAAAATTGGAAAGCTTTGATTACTAATTATTTCAACATTTGTCTGTTTTAATTCATGGTGTTTTAAAAGGGTGCTCAGTGTGTGTTTATCCAGTTCAGCCCGCAACCTTAAGTGTAATTTCAGTTTGGCCCCCTGTATGATTTAGTCTGACACCCCAGCACTAGAGCAACGAGTCACATTTTGTACCGAAAAGAGGGCTGGTCATTGCACCCGCTTAGCAAGGACTTTGCTGCTCAAGAAAACAGTGACATCCCAATTTGCCAAAAACTAACGTACAGGAAAATGTCCTGAAAAATGTCCTGAACGATGACAGTTTTAACCCTGTCCAATACAGAAGCTTACATGGCATTTGGTCGATGCCTAAAATCTCTGTTCAGAATTTAGCGGCTGTTGATTTTCTATTATTAAGCTGTGGCTGTTTAAAGTATGCACACTTTTTTTCTGTGAGTACATTATTATATACCAGTGCCAGACATGGACCTTGACCAAAAGTCTGGAACGCAAGATAACCACTTGCGAGGTGAGATGTCTGAGGAGAGAGCCGTCAACAAAACTAGATGTGACATGATCAGAAACTCTAGGATCAGAGAAATGGTGGGAACAACACCTGTCTTCCACTACACCCAGAAGCAAACAATAAGGTGGTTTGGACATTTGACAGTTATGACACCTCACCAGCCTGCCAGTAAAGCGTACAGCAAAAATATATCAGGGCACAAGGTAAGAGGAAGACCAAGGAAAAACCTGGATCGAGCATGTAACGGATATCCTGAAAACCAACAACATCCCACCAAGCCAGGCCATCCAGCTTGTCAGAAAACGAAAGCTCTTTCGATCCATTCGACTCCCTATATACTATATGGTACAAGAGGAAGGATAAAACAAAGTAAGTCACAATTATATGCACTTCCATCCCTATGTTCACCACAAAAGATAACCACAGCGACCTGAGCAAGAAATCCCTCAGCCTGTCCATGTTTGATGAAGAAAGATACCCCCGAGAAGCATGGATAAGGATCTATACGGGGGGATCTGCCACTGATGCTGTGAAAAGAGGAGGAGCGGGAGTGTACGTACAGTTCCCAATTGGACGACGACAAGCAGAGGCAGTCCCAGTAGGGTGCATTGTACAAACTACAGAGCAGAGATGGTGGCTCCTAACCTAATACATGCAGCAAACACCACCAGGGATGTGGTAGACCCTCAAAGCCAAGTAGTATTCTTAACAGATGCCGTGTCAATACTGCAGACAATCACTGCCGGCAAACTACCAAGGCTGCGAGAAGTAATTGAGGACATCCCATGTCTGAGGATCATGCAGCAGTGGCTTCCATCGCACTGTGGTGTCATAGGAAATGAGCAGGCAGACAGGATGGCCTAACTAGGAGCACAGAAAGAGCAACCAGACAACAGCGTCAACTACACAGAAATAAAAACTATCATAAATACACTATTTAAAGCACCACAGACATCAGATAGCTACCATGAGCTGTCACGCCAAAAAAACAACCAGGTGACTATATTCCGACTAAGAACACAACAGACACGACTGAGACAATATATGTACAGATGTTTTAAACTAGTACAATCACCAAAATGCCAGTGTGGAGAGGCGGACCAAACTGTGGAACACATCCTTCAGCAGTGTAGGACACACATGGCCCTGAGACAGAAAACGTGGCCAACCCCACTGACACTAGAGGAGAAGCTCTACGAGCCGACAGATGAACTGAGCAGGACGGCCCAATTTATGACAGATACCGTGCTTCAAGTGTAATGCGATCGAAAAGAAAAAAAAGAAGAAGTAATGTAAGTGAGTAAGAAGTACATTATTATCGGGAAAACCTTTTTGCGCAAGACGTCAAAGGGCACTGTTATTAGATGCTTTTGCACGGCGCCCATGGTAACAATGTGTGGGTGTCGGGTACATTACTCGGGCCAAACTTGTTGTTGAAGAACCGATACCTGAATTAAAAAAATAGTTTTCGATATTTTACTCCAGATTGTAATTATATTTTAATTTCCAGACAACTAATCTTTGACTATTTCAAAGCTCCAGTAATATTGCGCTACTTCCGTAACTATATATTAAAAGCAAAGCATAATTAAAAACGTGCCGGGATTCAATTTGTTTTCTCGGTCTTAATTTTCTTTTTTTTGGATCCAGTCCAACCAATAGCATCGTCAGAATTGACATTAACCAACTTACGAGTACGATTCTGAAACTGTGGGAAAAAGGGTTGTCTCAGACAAGTCCGACAGAGTGAACTCAGTCTAGATTACCTGTTGCCTGCTGTTTCCTCTAGTTGACGAAGGATCCCTGAAGTTGTGGTAATGATAATAGCATAATGTTCATTTGGAGAGAAAGAAGCTGTTATCAGTGGTGGTGGGTAGACCAAAATTTGGGTGGGGCTTAGGCTGCTTCCACTTCTTTACCACCAAATAGCAAGCAATAAAAACTAAACAGTTATGATTTTTCGGCGCTTATTCGGTAGTTCCCACCCCGCAATTGTTATTCGTCGGTTTTGGCCCCTGGAGTAGGCCCAGGGGGGTTTCAGGGCCCTGAATTTAACCATTATTTGATGTTTTGCAGTTGTTAGGTTTGATACCTTAGCTCGCCACGTATTCAACGTATAGATATCTAGATCTATATGTAGACCTAGGCTCTGTGTGCATTGCGTGCGTTCAAAACGGTTTCAACTGCTTATGGAGAAACATTTTTTTTCTGTGGGATAGAGTTGGGGGTGGTGGGTGGGGATGGGGGAGGGGCTCAGGCCTGTGAGCCTTTCACTACCCACCGCCACTGGCTGTTATTTTGACTTACGACATGCGATTATTGGTATCAATATCTTACTTACTTACTTAGTTTCTTACTTATTTACTTACTCTCTCCCAGTACCGTCAGGTACATAAGGCGGAGAGGAGTCGACGCCATGCTTGTCCCTGGCCACGTCCTGGAATTTCGGCACATCCAGGCCCTGGATGATTGCCTCATCTCTCACTGTGCCTCTATAGCTTCCAGTTGGTCTTCTCCGCTTTCTCTGTCCAGTTGGTTTCCAATACCGTTTCTGATAGGGCAATCTTGTCTTCGGCATTCTCAGAACATGTCCCAGATATCCCCATCTCCTTCCTTTTATTGTTGTGTTGATATCTTCAATTCCAGCTCTTTCCAGCACTTCATTATTTGTAATAAATTCGTTCCATTTTATTAGTAAAATTCTTCCTGGTCATCTTGTTTGAAGCTTTTTTATTTTTGTTGAATTGTTTTGTTTGTTTTCCATATCGCTGAACCTTACGTAGGTATCAACATCAGTGAAGCAAATAAGAAAACAAAAACGACACTGATCATCGGCTGCGACGCCCTGTATTTTTAATAGTAGGCCTACTAAGCGTAATATCATTCCAGGATAAGAAGGGTCGAATTTATTAAGTTTTTATTCTGACCAAGAAATCGTAATGGGGGCCTAAAGAAAAACGTGTGACCATAAAACTAAAAAAAGGGGCATACTGCTGGTATTTACGACAATAAATCTCTAAACCTTTACATGTACATCAAACTGAGCACAGCGTCTAGACGAAACCTTATAAAATACAATAAGATGTACACGTACAAGAGCTAGATCTAGCAACAGTAACAAGGTAAAAAAAGTTCATGTAAATGAGACGCAAATTAACCAGACCCGTAAGACTTAAAAATGGGAAGCATACGAGGCAATGGAAGTGTAGGCATATTTGTAGGCTCGTGTTAATAATGAAGTTAAACGCGATTTAATTTGATATGTAAACCAAGACGCCATGCCTTTGGTTCTAGAAAAACAAACAAACAACACCTCCACCCCCCCCCCAAAAAAAAACCCCGCCACAAAAACCACCACCAACCCCCCCCCCACAAAAACAACAACAACAAAACAACCAAAACAACAACAACAAATAAACAAACAAAACAACAAACAACAACAAACAAACAAACAAAAATCCAACTCAACAATTAATTGGTGTCGTTGGGGAGCTTGAAAGGAGCAACATTCAGTCATCAACAGTTTTTCGTGTTATATTAAATGTTGCAACTGTAACCAGCTAATGCTGTACAATTTGTTATGTTATTTTCAATGTAGAGATCTATATCTGATTCTATTTATTTATTGACCCTCAATAGAAATTTGAGCACGGCTTCCACTTCAAGTAGAGATTGCATTTCAGCCTCACAGAATATAGGTTATATTATTATTATGTAGTGTTAGGCTAGGAGCTAATATAATTGACATCTAAGGAGGCTGTGCGAGTATTCACAAACTTAAAACAAAAAAATGCCACCCATGCTCTCTTCTTTTGTTAACCTCATAAACCAATACACAAGGTCTTTAGAATGTGATGAATACTGCAGAAATCGTTTTGTTTTTATAGATCTAACATTTTCAGAAATACAGAACACCACTGTTACCAGTCGATTGTTTTTTTGGTTTGTTTGTTTGTTTGTTTGTTTGTTTGTTTGTTTTGTGTCACTACAAAGAGTGACACGACGACGAGTGGCTTGGATCAATACAGTGGCATTCTCTTTTTTTTCTTATTTCTCCATCATTTGCATAAACAATTAACAAGTTAGAAACTGTTCACAGTCTTATATTTTAAATCAACCCTCAACATACTACTTAGTTGTAAAAATTTCCCTTTTCCTCAGAATCCAAATTCCCCCCTATTAAGGGTGGGCAGGCGATCAGGGGGAGGATTAAAAACTCAGAGGTCCGCGTGAAAAGAATTGGCATTCTGGTGTCCCGGACCGACGTTTGGCTGCGGTACCACTTCTTTCAGGACTGCGCGTGACCAGCGGACTTCTTGCATCCTCAAGCATGGAGAAGACGAGCGAGTCGGCTCCCGCTGACCTCAACCCAGCGGCCATGAACAAGCTGCTGAAGCTCATCACCCCAACACCCACGACTCCCGAGAGAGAACCCCAAAGGCTCCGGGGATCCGTGGCCAAATTTGTCGCCCATCGCTGTGAAGGATCTCTGAAGGGTGTGCTCTTCCCAGAGCTACCGGCGAATGACAAGAGCGTAGGCAAGCAGGTCGTGTTGGACGACGCTCTCAAACGTTCGGAGAATCTGCTGCTGGACTATGAGGGCACGGGGCGGACCAGAGGCGGGAGTCCCATGCCGCTGAAGCGTCGCCTCAAGGGAGACACGGCCATGAGGATGGCCAATCGGTACAAGCAGTCCATGGAGCAAGTGTTCCCGTTTCGAAAGCAAACCGAGACCAGCACACAAGCCAACAAGAGGCCCCTTCGTACACGGTCGCCCTCGTCCTGCAGAATCAAAGACTTGATGGAGCCGGAGGTAGTGAGCCCGTGAGAAGCATGCAGTGGTCATAAGGCCATACTCTTAAAAATTGCTCGAAGTTAACAATGCTTTAACTGTTTTGATAATTTACAAGAAAGGAAATAACAGCTTTGATATTTGCAGCGGTTAATAAACTAAAACAGCATCAACTGAGGCTATGGACACAACACAGAAACACGCCAATGCGACTCTGCAATGCAACGTCCAGATTTGGGTTTACGCTACCCCCCCCCCCCAGATCTGGACATTACTTTGTCTTTTCCCTTTCTCCATCAAACACAAATGTAAAGGAAGCCATAGGAATGTGATAACCTTTTCCGAAAAGAAGTTAGCAATAAAGACCTAATTTCAAATCTATTACAGACAGCATTCCTGGTAATTTTTGGGTTCTTTATAAAAAGCTTACCGGGTACTTATGGATTGTGGCGATGGTGGACAGAGGATGTCTGTCTGTCTGTCTGTCTGTCTGTCTGTCTGTCTGTCTGTCTGTCTGTCTGTCTGTCTGTCGTTATCAGTTTTATTTTTAAGAGGAGTAGGGTTGGGAATAAGCCCTCTGCTCTCATCGAGAAAGGTGAAATGTTATGACAATCACACATGAACATTTGCTTTTGACTTTTACTACTTTCAGCTCGAAAGAACATGGCATGACATTTCCTTTGTTGTAGAGTGTAGACTAGACTCTTCCCGCTCACCTTCCTCTAGTACCTTGATCTGATCATCCCCATGCAGTTGCCAGGTAAAGCAAATTTATTATGAAAGTACGATACGTTCAATTGTAATTGTATAATTTTTACGTCCCTGCCGACACTATTTAGATCTAGATCTTTTATGAGGAGGGCTGCTTCGGCCCTGCCTGTCATGGCCACCCTGGGCTGAGAGAGCTACAAAAACGTCCCAGCAGAATGATGGATGGCGATACTCGATAAAAGAGAATTCTCCCTACACGGGAATCGAACCTAGGTCTTTTGCCTGAGATGACGAAGCGCCCACGCGATACACAACAGGCGTTGGTTTTCTTTGATGTGCTCACTTGGAGATTGACACAGTCAGTGAACGGTTTGTCTTTGAGAAGTTTCACAAGTGTAGCTTAGGGTAAATCCAATCTGGTGCTGATAGAGCTCTCGCGGAAAGGTTTATTTTCCCAGAAGCTCTGATATATTCTATACAATTGCACTAATATTATTACTGTGAATTACAGTAAATGTCAATTTCAAATCAAATGATTTTCAATGATATTTTGCGGTAAAAGTAGAACGTCGGGCTTTACCTGTAGACTTGATTTATGGAAACCGTGAGAATTACTTGTTTTAGTGATAGCAATATAAACAGTACTGACCCTTTAGAACAATGACTTTGATTCGTGGTCTTCGGATGTGCAGTAGTTTCTTCTACTTCTTCTATAGTATGTGTTCAACATATTTGAAAAAATATCGTAAGAATGTAGGGCTTTCTCGTGGAAGACAACGGGAATATTCCAGAAACAATACTTTTAGCCGCATGTCAATGAGCGGTTGGATAACGCGACTATTATTACATGTGTTATCTTTTATTCTGATATCCGCACTGTCCGTCACTCATGACTTTTGACGTGCACTTTACTAGCAGTAGTACTAGTTGGTTTAGGTCAGTTCTTGTCAACATTTATAATATGTACTGTAACCCCTCCTCCCCACACTCAATCTTAAAAAAAAATCAACGGAATCTTTGTTGGTCTCCGGAGACAACAGTTCTCGTACAATGACAATTTAAGCCTGCTGTCAACAAGAGGAGCCCATTCACTGTAAGGCAATAGCGTCATCTCGGTGGTGAGAAAAGAACTTACGCCACTTTTAAGAGGCTAAAGCCCCGGTTACACGCACCGATAAATAGTATCAGATTCGTCGTATGAGAGAACTGTCCGTTTTATCGAACTGTGTTGTCTGTTTACTCATTCCAATCTATCTATCGTCCAGTTTTCTATCGATTGAGGAGATTCCTTGTCATAAAGCCACCATGTCTCTTTGCGACGACAGCGATTTGTCTTCGCTGCTCTTTATGTGAACGCTTCGAACTCTGGACCTAATGAATGAAAGGCGAACACTACCTTTAGATCACAGAAGGCCACCCTCCCCCCTCCCCTGTACATTTTTATATAGCAGAACAGTGTCTTTAGAAAAGGGTGGCCATACTGTAGGCCTACCTTGTTGTGTGTAGAACTGGAAGCTTTGACTTGACTGCAGATGTGCAACGCACTGAGTGACCTTGATGCACAGCTTCCAAAATAATAAAGTTGCTAAAATATAAATAATAACCCACCAAATCAGGTTCTCTGCGAGCAAATTTTCGTATTTTGAGACGCTGATTCCGAATATGAAATCAGTTTTTACGTACGGTAATTACTAAAACAAGTCCTGAGTTGATTTCTGCGCGGCGGCAAATTTCAAAGTGAATCTACGTCACAGCGCGTCTCCCTCAACAAATCTGAACGTAGTCGCACGGAAAATACCAAGCAGCGCTTGTTTCTCGACCGTGTCTCCAAACCATCGTTCAATCGTCCAAATTTTTAACAATTTTATGGTTACACCTAGCGGTTTTTTTTGTATGATCGCTAGATCGTCCAGTTTTTGTGTAATTTATCGTTACATGTAAAAGGGCCATAAAGTTTCCTCACTGCCCTCCTTAATGTACATTGCATTTCCATGACTCGTAGGACATCAGATTTTAATATTATCTGTCTCTACCCAGATGTCGCTGCTCACTACAATGACCAATTCGCCCCGTAGTGACTGTGAGCTTTGTCGCCTAGGTTGGCAAGCACTGTTCTAAATATTGTGGCCAGTACTGTGTTGACACGTTTTCGACAACTTGAAAAAACAATAGGTTTTGATGAGTTTTGGTTTACGAAAGAAAATAACAAAGTTGTGCATTAACAATGAATTTGAGAACTGAAATTGGATTTTCTTAACAACCAACCTCTCATCCTAAATCATGGCTCACTTAGTCAGACTACAATAAGATAAGCAGCAAAATATCCGGTATTTCGCCATCCGGCCCCGGTGAAGCCCTATCTGTGCATACTGGCAAGACAGGAGGCGCCACCGGTCTGGAAGATGCACGTTTGTGACTTTAATCTTCTTATCATTAACAACAGCAGAATGATTTGTTACGCCGTTGCTGGGACATGCGAGGAAGAATACTCGAAGACTTCTCGAAGAACGCAGAGCGCGAGTGACCAAGTTATAGCGGAACTGGCAGGCTGGAGAGATGCCGCCGGCATTCCTTACGTTGTGAGAATGTGCCATGTTGTTCTGGGAATGGTGAAGGTTTTCGCCTACCCGTCTTTCTGGTGCGAAGTTTACAAAGAGCGTGATAGCATCTTCTGCAGGCAGCTTTATGTCAGGCCTCAGACGCTCTCGTTTCGAGAAAAGGGATAAATAATCGGCCAGACTGTCGATGTTGTGCTCACGATATATATAGCCCTTGACGGGCGCACACTCCGAGCTGCCACATAGACAGGCGAGGGCGAAAACTCGAGACGGGTGCAGACGTCGTAACCATTTCCCTGCAAAGTCTGGGGAGTGGCGAAGACAGAGTTTATAATCTAAGAGAGAGAAAGGGGG